TTCTTGGCGGACGTCTCGAGGAAGGGGATGTTGACAGATTGCTGCGCGGAGGTGAAGGGGCGGGTGGGGGGAGGGGGGTGCGGCGTGAGCCAGGCGCGGCCGGCGTGCGGCGAGGCGCAGGGGGTCTAGCTGTCTCGGGCGAGCGTGCCCGGCGCAGGCGAGCCCGGCGGACGGCAAAAGCCGGGTGGGGCGAGCAAGGAGGAAGGGAGGGGGTGGGGTGGGGTGGGGGGGTGGGGGGGGGGAGGAGGCGGGAGGTGGAGGGGATTGGGAAGGTGGGGCGCGCAGCGCCGACCCAACGGGAGGGCGGGAGAGCTGGCGCGCGGGGTTTGGCATGCGGGGCGCCGCGCACCGCAAACTCCTTTGCCGCCTCCGTCTCGACGCTGCGCTTCGATGTCAGGTCGGACTTGTTGCCAACGAGGAGCTTGTTGACGTTCTCCGACGCATACCTGTCGATCTCGTGCAGCCACGTCTTGACCTGCGCCGTCCGGAGAGGCAGGGAGGGCGAGCGTTCAAGGCGCGCCACCCTCACGCGACGGAGAGGCACGTGCTGATGCGGCAGGACGTGGCAGGACACTGAGGGCCGGGCCAACTCACGTGCTCGAAGGTCTCGGCATCGGTGGTGTCGTACACCACGATGATGCCGTGCGCGCCGCGGTAGTAGCTGCTCGTGATCGTGCGGAAGCGCTCCTGCGTTGCGCGGTGACGGAAGCGCGATCAGCGCCGGCAGACTGCACGTCTTTTACTGACGTGTCTCTCTGCGTCAAACGGAATCTGGAAATGGGCGCGCGCGCGCCTGCCCCGCCGTGTCCCAAATCTGCAGCTTGATGGTCTTGCCCTCGAGCTGGATCGTGCGGATTTTCTGCGACGCGGTGGGCATCCTGGGTGAGCACAGCGCCGCAGCCGGGCAGCTGGGCGGGCGCGGCGGCGGCGCACGAAATCCACGCCGATGGTGCTGATGTGCGACTCGGTGTACGTGTCGTCAGCGAAGCGCAGCAGCAGGCAAGACTTTCCGACACCCGAGTCGCCGATGAGCACGAGCTTGAACACGTAGTCGTACTCTTGCTGGCTCTGCGCAGAGGAGTCGGCGCGGCGGTTTGGCGGTGCAGGCGCGCGGGTGTGTGGAGCGCGCCCGCGCGGCGCGCGAGGGCGCGGGGCGGGGGCGCGACGGCAGCTCGAGCGTGGCGGGTGCAAGGCGAGCGCGAGGCGGGTGAGCGGGCGTGTGGCGGGCGCCATGTCTTTTAGCCGGGTGAGCGGCGGCAGCTAAGGTGCGGGCGGTCCCCTCTTCTTTTTCCCCCCGGCCCCGGCCTCGCTGTGAGGGGTTGGGAGACAAAGAGGTACTTCTTTCTTGCAGGCACGCCATGTCTTTGTTTGGTTAGCCGGGTGAGCGGCGGCAGGCAAGGTGCGCGTTTTTTTTTCCCCGGCGACCGTCCGGCACACCTCAAAGATTCATTCCTTGCCCAGCTCAAACTCGGCGCAGTCTCGGCCGGCGCGCGCTCCTGCGCGGCCACCTAAATTCCCGAGTCGCTGCACCCCGCCAGAGCACCCACCCACCTCGCTGCCACAAGCAGGAGCGGCGGTAGAAGTCGAAACGTGCGCCGCACGGCCGCCTCGCTTGAACGGCCGCTTCCGCAGAGTCGACCGATAGCCGCCGCGCTGCACACCCGGCCACAGCCTGACCACCCCGCGCGGACACAGGGCGCACTGCAGCCCTACGACGAGGCGAACACGGAGACGAGCAGTGCTCAGCCCCTGCTAATCGGCGTGTCGAGATGGCGGACCCAGTACTTCTGCAAGTCATCGGGCAGCTCTAGCAAGGCCAGCATGCTGTGCAGACGGGGCCTGAGGCAGGCCACGCGCTCGCGCTAACCCGGTAAATTGCCGCCAAAACCGGAGATAAACCAGCCCGACAAATGGTGGCCGCAGGCCGGATCAACTCCGTTTAGGCGCGTTTAGTGACCGTTCAGGCTAGACAACGCTAAACCGCCCTGGGTTAAGGGCCCCTAACCCGCGCTAAACGGTGTTAAACTGATACGTTCGATAGGCTCTCTAAGTCCTGGACTTTTTTCGTTGACTGTGCGCCCGCCGCAGTGGTTGCCGGCCGCATCTCTCCTTCCGCGCTCCGCTTCCACTCCCATTCAGGCAGTCAATACCCCTTTAGTTCGGCGGTGACGGGTGCGACCTCGCCGTCTGAGCCGCATTCTGCACCTCCCAAAAAGATGGTCAGGATTACGCTCACAGCGGAGCTGCTCGGCGTCAGTGGTGGACATGGGTCGATGGCTGCATACAACAAGCGCTTCTCTGCAGTGAATGGAAGGAATACCAACCTTGCCTGTCTGGCCGACATGCAAGCTGCCGCAGCCAGGAGTCAATGCGCCGGCCTCTGCGCATGCCCGGCTTCTGCACCATCCGTCCATGGCGGGTATCTTTGAGCGCTCATTGGCCAGGGCAAAGGGCACTCGGCAAAGCCGCTCACACTGCGAACAGAGGGTCAAAGCACCGCCTGCTGTGGATAGGGAGTGGCCCACTCGTCGCGGGTCTTATCACGACCGACGTCGGACACGGCGTACTTACTCAGTGTTGACCGATGCGCTACCGGTTGGGCCGCGAAGATGTAAGAAGCCGCGTCGACGAGGGCTGTGCGACCTGTGCGGCCTGCTGAGCGGCGTGAGAGCGATTGAAACGACACGCCACCTCGCCCTCGAATGTCCATACACCACCTGATTTTCATGAGGTGCTGCTACTATTTTGGGACCAGTGGTGAAGCCTGAAAATGGCTAACTCTGGCCGCGTCCCTCCCCTGTCCGCTCTTCTGCATAAATACAGCCACAGTGCAGCTGCTAGTCTTGAGCTGCTACTGTGTGTGTGCAGTGGCAGAGCGCCCAGAGGGCTTTCACGAGCACTATTCAGTTTGATTCAGCTCAACCGTTGTGTGGAGTATGGAGTACATGCGCAAGCACGAGAAGGACTATGAGCCGGGCATGGAGGGGCCCTGGAGAGCGATGGAGACCTCAAACCAACCTGCTGTGAAGAGTCGGCAGCCCGAGCGCCGTCGCCGCACACTCCGTACACCCTTCTAAGCCCGCGGGGTACAACTGTAGCCTCCCCCCATCCCCAGACAGGGCCTCCTCCCTCCAGGGCTCGCCTCAACCCCTCACAAAAAAATTGTTCCAGTCTTAGCAAGCAAAAAGGAGCACACACGACTTAGCAAGTCCGCACCAGCGACTGCCACTCGCCTAACCATGCCTCGTCACAAGTGCCCTCCCAATCGCGCCCAGGCACACACGCTCCGCCTGTTCTCACCCAAACACTCTGTCACACCCTTGCCTCCCTGCCAGAGCGAGCTAGATTCTCCCCGCCTCCCTCCCGCCTCTGCCGCGCGCCTTCTATGGACGTCCAGTGCAGCACCTAGGGGGAGAGAGGGGGTTTGCCCTGGTAGCGAGGTGGCGAGGTCGCGCACTGCAAACCCAGTGTGAGGAGTGGGGGAGCTGGGACAGGGCATGTACGCCTCTGATCTGTCATGGTCTAGTGGCCGATAGGATCCTCCCTTAGGCAACGATGGCGGGTCGGGAGAGGCCCGACTTCATAGCCCGCCACTTACTGCCAGCCTCTCTGACTGCCCAGGGTCTCACCACGATGCCGCCCGAGTAGGGGGATAAGGTGTGTAGAGTGCGGCTCTGTACTGAACCTCTCTCTGTGTGGATCCCACCTGAGCCCACTCGCGGTGCGAAGGCTCCTAATGCGGCAACTGAGCCCGCAAGGGTAGGGCACTCAGGGAGAGGTTATGTTGGATAATATGTTGTGTTGTGGCGTACTGCTGTGCAGCTGGCGCAGCGAGCCCTGCCACGGCTCGTCGTCGGGTGGTGCCTGTAACAGCTGAGGCAGGGAGACTGCCTGTGAGTAGCGCAGCTGCGCGGTCGCCCGAGGATTGGGATGACTGGGTGGAGAGACTGGTACGACCGTACCTGGGTATGGCGAAGGCTGGTGGCTAGGGTTAGCTGGGCGCGCACGGCGAGTCCAGTCACATTGCCGCCCCGCAACAGCGATATGAGTGGTCTCTCAGTGCGCGCTCTGCGTCCCTAGAACGTAGCGTGGCGTTGGTGCTGAAGCAGTAGAATGGTACTATATGAGGCGGTGAAGCGCATTCGTCGTCAATTTTGCAAGCCCGGGCTTGCAAAGCCGTTCGAAGCGCCTGATTCGAGCGAGTGGAGGCAGGTTCGAGACCTGGTGGGGGGGTTTGGGGGGGTCGCCCGTCGCCCATCGGACCATCAAGGGATCCATCAAATCCGTCGAATCTGTCGACATCTGTCGACAGCTGGCGCGGCTGGTGCCGGCCGCTGCGCCAGAATTTTTTTGTGCTGAGCACAGGGTTGGTTGTGCCGGGCCGCCCCCGCGAGAGAAACTCGTCAGTAAAACTCTCGGGCGGCCCGGCTGTCTGAGGCTGGCACGCAGTGGCAAAAGCCCGCGGCTCGTCGCCAAGGAGTTACGAAGTTTTTTTTCCTCAACCTCAACCCCTCACAGACCAGCGCACAGCACCATAGGTAGGACGTACTTTCTTCTCAATTGCGCGCAAATTCTTTCTTTGCCCTCTCCTTTCGCGCTCTGTGTGCAGCATGAGAGATCGAGGCGGCGGCTCCCGCTCCCGGAGAGGGGCGGAGGAGCAGTCGAGCGGGAAAGACGCAGGGGAGTTGCTGGAGGTGACGGCGGTGGTGGTGGTGGATTCGGAGCAGGCGGCGGGGGTAAGGCCCTCCGCGCCGGAGACGGTCGAGGCGGAGAGGCGCAGCGGCGGCGGCAGCGGCGCGGGCGGCGCTGGTGGTGGAGCGCGGTTCGGGGAGGCCGACTTGGGCGGCGCTGGCGGGCGGGTTGAGGGCGGCGAGGGCTCGGGCGGCGCGGCGTCCGCGCAGCTCGGCGCTGCACGCACCGCGCCCGCGCCCTCGGCGCCCGATCACCGGCCGTATTTTCACTTGGCCATAGCCCCGCAACGTCCTTGAGATTCGAGGGCAGGGGACATCGACTCCTCCAAGGCGATTCCTTGGAGGCGCCAGCGGCCGCCGCAGCAGGCGTCGCTGAGGTCGGTGAGCGGATCCGTTGGAGCCGCACAATTGATGGTATGCATGGCGATGGTTTGATGGATTACGACGATGGGGGCCGGGTGGCTGAGGGGGCGGGGAAGGGGGAGGCGGCGCCGGCGCCGGCGCCGGCGACTCCGATGACGGCGGCGGCGGCGGCGGCGGCGGCGGCGGCGGCGGCGGCGGCGGCGGCGGCGGCGGCGGCGGCGGCGGCGGAGGCGGAGGCGGAGGCGGAGGCGGCGGCGGCTGGCGGCTTGCGCCTCCACCTCTCCAGCAGCGGCACCGGCTACAGGGGCGTGCGCAGGGTCGGCTCGCGCTTCGAGGCGCAGTACAGCGCGAACGGAAGGCGGGCCAGCCTTGGCCGCTTCGACACGGCGGCGGAGGCGGCGGTGGCGTACGCGCGGGCGGTCGCGGAGGCGGCGGCGGCGGCGGAGGCGGCTCTCCCTCCCGGCTTCACGCGCTTGGTCCGCAGCGCAAACGAAAATTCGTGGTGGTACCTGTCGCCGGACGGCACGCGGCTGTCCAACCGCGCGCCGGCGTGGAAGCACCACTCGGGGGAGCAGCTCCCTGCGGAGGCGGAGGCGGCGGCGGCGGCGGCGGCGGCGGAGGCGGAGGCGGAGGCGGCGGCGGCTGGCGGCTTGCGCCTCCACCTCTGCAGCGGCGGCACCGGCTACAGGGGCGTGCGCAGGGTCGGCTCGCGCTTCGAGGCGCGGTACAGCGCGAACGGAAGGCAGGCCAGCCTTGGCCGCTTCGACACGGCGGCGGAGGCGGCAGTGGCGTACGCGCGGGCGGTCGGGGAGGCGGAGGCGGAGGCGGCGGCGGAGGCGGAGGCGGAGGCGGCGGTGGCGGCGGAGGCGGCGGAGGCGGAGGCGGAGGCGGCGGCGGCTGGCGGCTTGCGCCTCCACCTCTGCAGCGGCGGCACCGGCTACAGGGGCGTGCGCAGGGATAAATCGCGCTTCGAGGCGCGGTACAGCGCGAACGGAAGGCGGGCCAGCCTTGGCCGCTTCGACACGGCGGCGGAGGCGGCGGTGGCGTACGCGCGGGCGGTCGGGGAGGCGGAGGCGGAGGCGGCGGCGGAGGCGGAGGCGGAGGCGGCGGCGGCGGCGGAGGCGGCGGAGGCGGAGGCGGAGGCGGCGGCGGCTGGCGGCTTGCGCCTTCACCTCTCCAGCAGCGGCACCGGCTACAGGGGCGTATACAGGGTCGGCTCGCGCTTCGAGGCGCGGTACAGCGCGAACGGAAGGCGGGCCAGCCTTGGCCACTTCGACACGGCGGCGGAGGCGGCGGTGGCGTACGCGCGGGCGGTCGGGGAGGCGGAGGCGGAGGCGGCGGCGGAGGCGGAGGCGGAGGCGGCGGCGGCGGCGGAGGCGGCGGAGGCGGAGGCGGAGGCGGCGGCGGCTGGCGGCTTGCGCCTCCACCTCTCCAGCAGCGGCACCGGCTACAGGGGCGTATACAGGGTCGGCTCGCGCTTCGAGGCGCGGTACTGCGCGAACGGAAGGCAGGCCAGCCTTGGCCGCTTCGACACGGCGGTGGAGGCGGCGGTGGCGTACGCGCGGGCGGTCGGGGAGACGGAGGCGGAGGCGGCGGCGGCGGCGGAGGCGGCGGAGGCGGAGGCGGAGGCGGCGGTGGCTGGCGGCTTGCGCCTCCACCCCTGCAGCGGCGGCACCGGCTACAGGGGCGTGCGCAGGGATAAATCGCGCTTCGAGGCGCGGTACAGCGCGAACGGAAGGTGGGCCAGCCTTGGCCGCTTCGACACGGCGCGGCAGGCGGCGGTGGCGTACGCGCGGCACTTCGGCAGCTTCGACCCCGACGCCGCGGACCGGCGAGCCGCGGCCAGTTTAACCGCCTCCGCGGCGCGTTTTCGCGGCGGACGCCGAGCGGGTGCGCCGCCCTGCCACCCTCACGCGTCCCCGTTTCTGTATCAGCTCGCCGACCAGCGCGAGCGGCGCCACGAGCAGCGGCTGACGCGGGCGTCGCTTCGGCTCCCCGTGCTGCCAGAGCGCGAGGACGGCTACACGCCGAAGGAGCGGACGGCGCTCGTCGAGCACGAGGCGGAGGCGCTCACCGAGTGGGTGCTGGAGATGCTCGAGCAGGTGCCGCGGCGGCGCCGCTCCTCGCCGCAGCGGCCCTCGCCTCCAACCCGTCGGCGAGTTTGCACCGTAGGACCCGCACGCAGTCACGTACGTCATGACGGGCTCTCGCGACACGATGGAGCTGCACGGCGACAACCTGAGCGCCTGGGAGGTGCTCAAAACGTCGATCTTCCGCGGCCCGAGCTCGTACCTGCTCTTCCAGGGCGGGCAGGCGACGCCCGACGACGTCCGCGACGCGATCGCCAAGGGGTCATGCCGCGAGCTGCCGGCCCGCAGCGGGAGGCGCCACGGAGTCTCACCCCGTCCGGCCTGTGTTTGTAGGTGGCTGCACGTCTCTTCCCGGCCGACGACGTACGCGCGGGCGCGGCCAACCCGCCGGCGGCGGCGCGAGGCCGCCCCGCGCTCACGTCGCGAGATGTTTTCCGCATAGGGCGAGACCGGGTGGAGGAGGCGACGCAGCGCGCCGTCATCTACGGCAAGCCCGCGGACACGGCCCGCGATAACCTTCTCTGGCGGCGGTGCCGTTCTCTGCTCGTCCGGCGACCCGAGGTGCGTCGTGAGCTGTAGAGGAGCTCGAGTGTTGTGTTAGGTGCGGCACCGGTGGCAACACGCCCGGCATGGTTTGCGGCTACCAGACGCGCGCCTTCGTCCTCTCCTCCAAGGCGCTTGAGAATGGCTGGGAGGTGGTGCCACACCCGAGCGCGGTGACGCGCGACGCCGACGGCATGGCGATCGGCGAGTGCCTTGCGGCACACGCGATGGCGCCGCAGCCGGAGGGGCGGGCTCTGCCCCTCAAGTCCCTGTGAGATTGCTCACGCCTGTGCACAGGTGCGCTCTCACATCCCGTGCCCGCGCACACGCACGCCGCTCTCAGCAGTGTGCATCGCGGCAGGCGCCTGCGCTGGACCTCACGGTGCTCAACGCCGGGCGGGCGCCATGCAGGCAGGCGCCATGTCTTGACAGCCGGGCGGGCGCGGCAGTAAGGTGCGCTCGCTGTGCACGCGTCTTTTTTTTCCCGGCCGGGGGTTTGCAAGGAAGGGCGGTGTAAGAGGCCGATCCCCGTAGTCCGCCCCACTCCTCCCCATCGGGCCGCGTGAGCGGCCTGCCGCCTCGCAGATTCGTTTTTTCGCGCCTGGGTCAGGCGCGCGGGGCATCCCCCGGGTCGCTCGACCAGCGATCCGAAGAGTGGCCGCTATGCGAGGGACAGAGCGGGGCCCCCGGGGTACGCCTCCGTGCGGCCCCCTCCGAGGAGGGGCGAAGGGGCCCCCACCCCTACCTACCTACCTACCTACCTACCTACCCTACTTATGGGAAATTAAAAAAGAAACACTTTTATGTGAAGGTGGGTACTATACCAACTAAGTCATGGGCTCTCTCTCTCTCTCTCTCTCTCTCTCTCTCTCTCTCTCTCTCTCTCTCTCTCTCTCTCTCTCTCTCTCTCTCTCTCTCTCTCTCTCTCAGGTGCGAACTGGCGCGTGCGAGTCACAGGCACACAAAGAAAATCAGCGCCGCGACACCCGAAGAAGTGGGCTGAAGCTGTCGGTCGTGCTCCGCGTTCGTGCTGCGCGTTCGTGCTCCGCGCGACACAGGCACCGGCGCAAGGCGCCGTGGAGATGCGGCCCTCTCGCGCCGACATAAAGTACAACTGCTGGGTCCCGTCCAGCGGGCTCTCGTCGCCCGCTGTCACCGTCATCAGTCAGTTCCAACTCAGCAACGCGACGCAGGCGAGCTTTGTCACCAACAACCGGCTGGCTTGGGCGGCGGCCCAGCGGTACCGCTACTGTGAGCTTGGCGTCCGGCCCGACCAGCTCCGGCAGAGCTGGGCGTGGGCGCGCATCCCGCTGCTCCTCGCGACGCTGCGCTGCTCCGACTACGTGGTGCACCTCGACGCGGACGCGTTTGTGATGCGGCCCGAGTGGGGCGTGGAGAGCTACCTGCGGCAGATGCAGGAGCGGCGCGCGAGCCTGCTCGTCACGCGGGACTACCTCGACCTCAAGCGCTCGCCGATCAACTTTGGAGTCTGCAGTCCAGATGCGGGAGATGGGCCCCGGCCTTCCCAGAGGAGAGACACGCACTGACACGTGCGGCTACACGACTGCCGTCGCTGCCTCACCCTCCCGCGCGGTGGCGCCGAACACTGCACGACGCCGTTTCAAAGCCCCTCGGCTCGTCTAACCAAATCCGCTAATGGGGGGGGGTTGGGGGGGCCGTGCTTTCACAGCCTCACGAGAGGAATAAGAAACGCATAGGTCCACATCGCGCGAGCGACCGACTGGACGCTGCGCTTCTTCTCGGAGATCTACAACATGTGGGCTAGATTGGCCGAGAGAGCCGAGAGAGAGCCGAGATCAGCCGAGCGTCCCTGGACGCTGCGCTCCGAGATCTACTGCAACTGCGCGTGCGCCCGACTGAGCTGACCAACAGTCGTCCAACGGAGCGGACGCCCACAGTGCCTCCACCCTCCCTTGGTCAGTTGTGCGCGTGCCTCAGGTGCGCGTGCCACTGACCGCTGTGGTGTGCCGCAGGTGCGCGTGCGATTCGGCGAAGCTGCTCAACTGGTGCCACTGACCGCTGTGGTGTGCCGCAGGTGCGCGTGCGACTCGGCGAAGCTGCTCAACTGGCCCGCCGAGCAGGGACTAGTCGTCGAGTGGCTCCAGGCGCTTAGACTCGAGAGATTCGGCGAGAGATTCGGCGAGAGATTCGGCGAGAGATTCGGCGAGATTCGCCTCGAGATTCGCCTCGAGATTCGCCTCGAGATTCGCCGAGCTTCGCCGAGCTTCGCCGAGCCCCAGCCCTGGCCCTAACCCCCGCCCCAGGCGCGCGGGCACGACCCGCTCACGGGCGGCGGCACCGTGACCTAGACGCGGCGAGACTGTCCCTCTGCACACGCACTGCCCTCGGGTGGGCACGGCTCTGGCTGCACACTCCCACTCGTATCGCACTGTGCCTCGTCTCCACCGCGAGGCACTGTGCGAGAGCCGGAGGGGGGGCGGGGGGGGGGGCGTCCCTCCCCTCCGCCACACCCACGCTCCTCACCTCTGCCATACCCACACCCTCCGCCCCGGGGACCCCCCGCCCCGCCGCTTTCCCTCTCCCGCAGGCCCAGTCCTCGTCGTCGACAATGCAGGGCTCAACCGGTCCCACTACCCTAGCAGGGACTCCTCTCGGGGAATCTCGGGGAATCTCGGGGAATCTCGCGTAGGTTCCACTACCCGAGCTGGGACCACAAGCGAGGGGAGAGCGCGGTGCCGGCGCAGGCGCGATCCTCCACAATCTCCCACAAATCTCCTCAGATCTCCACAGTCACACACACACACACACACACACACACACACACACACACACACACACACACACACACACACACACACACACACACACACACACACACACACACACACACCAAGCCCACGCATACACGCCTCTCGTCCACGCCTCTCGTCATCGCCTCTCGCCGCACCAGGCGCACATCGTCCACTACGCATGCTGTGTGCCCGCCAGGCCGCCAGCCGGCGGCAAGCGCAACTCGAGGTATGGTTTCGACTACTCCCGCTCACCGCCGCCTAGCGCTACTCATTCACGCCTCCCTCCTCCTCCTCCCCCTCCTCCTCCCCCTTCCGAGGCACGGCTTCGACCGCTCCTTCGACGCGCGCATCAACGCCGCCATCGGCGACTTCGCCCGCATCCACGCGGCCAACCTCAGCGCGGCGGGAGGGGTGCGAGTCATGCTGCAGCCGCCCGCCCGCTCGACGGCGGAGGGCGGCGCCGCCGCTCCGCCGGCGCCCCTTCCCCCGCGCGGCGCGGTGCCCAAAAAAAGAAAACGCGGGCGGCCAGGACGCGAGCGCTGTGAATAGGCGCCCCTCCCGTGGGGCGGCGCCATGCAGCTGGCGTCGAGCCGCTGGCCGTGCGCCGCCGTTGGCCGCAGAGAGGCGGGCCAACGCACGCAGCACGCCCGAGGTGCTAAGGAAGATACAAGGGGGTCGGAACGGGGGGGGGGGGTTGTATTAACGGGGTGCGCTCTGATGTGGGAGGTTTTACTTTTTGTGGGGCCCCTGCGCCCCGGAAAAAAACAACCCCCCGAAGAGACCCTCGCCCCACCATCGCCCCTTAAGTTGGGGGGATGGCTCCCCAATATAATCCAACTTTCCTCCGGAGGTCCCCGGGAAA